GCACGTCTATATAATATCATTTCGTTATTATTTTTATGCATTTTTTGTTCCTGTATTTTTGTGCAATATACATTTTGTTTTCGTATCTAATGTATCTTCTTAAATAAATGTTCAAAAAATTACGTGTATTTCTTTTATAAAAGATATTATTTATTTATTTACTCATGGTAATATTTACTTGTACCATTTTTACTCTAAACAACAAAAATGGTACATGTACATTTTGTAAAAAATGTTTCAAAAAAACTAAATGTATATGATTGTAAAAACTGCACATGAAAACATTAAGAACTTACTAATAATAATATCTTGATTAGATTTTAAAATTTTGTTTGGTCTTTTTGTGCCACTACTTAAACTTTAACTCTCATTTTCTCAAAACTATCTAAATGTCACTTGTACCACTTTTCCTCTCAGCCCCTCAATTACCCGTAGCTGAAGAATAAATAATATTGTCATGTTTTCGATTTGCGAGTATCACAATATGTTAATTACATACGGTGAAGCTCACTGTTACAGCAAAAGGGCTGTTAGACTTTATGTTGAACGCTATCCCGAACGACGACATCCTAATGCCCGGAGTTTTGTGAACGTGTCCCAAAGGTTATTAGAGACGGGTTGTGTGGTACGTAAAAAAACTATTGGTAGAACACGAAAAACAAAAAAATTGTTCACAAGGCATTTACGGAACAACTGTTACATCCTTACCATTACCAACGAATGCAAGATTTACACCAAGGCGATTTACCTCGAAAATTAAGATTTTGTAGATGGATTCAAAACAAAATCGCCATAGAACCCGAATTTCCGTGCAAAGTTTAGTGTGCAGGTGAAGCTTGTTTTACGAGAAATGGTGTGTTTAATGTTCACAATTGTCACGTGTGGAATGAGGAAAACGCATATGCTGTACATAGGACAAATTTTCAAAAACAATTTATTATAAATTTATGGGCTGGAGTTATTAGTAATCATCTGATTGGACCGTACGAACGTCCTAGAAGATTGAAGGGGGAACCCTGCAAATACGCTCTGAAATGTGGTTTCTTCATGACTGGGCTCCAGCACATTTTACGAGATATATTAAAAATTTCCTCGACATCACTTATCCTCGTCGTTGGATCGGTAGAAATGGACATGCTCTATGGCCGCCCAGAACGCCAGAATGCAATGTTATGGACTTGTATTTTTGAGGACATCTAAAATCATTAGTATACGACAACCAGGATGAAATTAAAACAGAAGTTCAATCGCGACAACGAATTTTTGATGATGCTGAAATAATCTGACGTAATTTACATACATATACACTTCGAACATTTATTTTAATAATAATTTTCCATGTAAGTAAAAACAGTATTCAAACTTTAGTTATTAAATATTTAATAAAAACAAATATGCTTTTTCTCTATGACTGTTATCAGTATCAATACATAATTAATCATATTATGACTATCGATCGATGATTTATGATAGCTGATTTACAGTAATTAACGAAAAATAACAAGGAACGCAACGTTGCCGGCTGTATTTGCCCTGTGAACAATAATCAAATGAAATAAAATTAATAAAAATTATAATTTTTTTTGAAAACGGTTGACTTTATAAAAAAATGTTATAAGGCAGCACATACCGTTAAGGAACGCACTGTTTTCCGGGACACCCTGTATATATAGGTATATATATATATATATATATATATATATATATATATATATATATATATATAAGGTTCTTGAACTCCTAAGTGGAGCATAAAGCTTCAGTGAAAACGCGCCATCGGGTTCTATTTTGCGCTAAGGCCTTCACCTCATTCCAAGACTTTCCTTGTTTTCTTATCTCGTCCATGATGGATCTTCTCCAAGTTTGTACTGGGCGACCTTTTTTTCGTTTTCCTTGGAGGTTCCACTCTAGGGCAGTCTTTGAAATACTGGAGTTATTTTTTCGGAGTGTTTGACCGATCCAACCCCACTTTCTGGACTTTATTTCATTTACTACCCTCTTTTGTTTGGTCAGGTGTAGTAAATCTTCGTTTCTGATGATGTTAGGCCAGAAAATACGAACAATTCTTCGTAGACATTTATTAACAAAGACCTGCAGTTTGTCTGTAAGGGTTTTTGTCGCTTTCCAGGTTTCACATCCGTAAAGTAGTACAGACATGACATTTGACTGGAATATGCGGATCTTTGTCCTCGTAGTGTAGTCTCCAGACCTCCAAACAGGGTTGAGCATGCTGAAAGCTTGTTGCGCTTTTCGTATCCTCATACGAATATCGTCTTCTGTACCTCCGCTTTCTGTTATGACACTTCCAAGATACGTAAAGTTTTCCACATTTTCAATCTGCATGTTATTAATGGTGAATAGCGTGTTGTTTCTTGCATTTATTCTCATGGATTTGGTTTTACCAATATTGATTTTCAAACCTATTTTATTGGCTTCAGTGGAAAGTGTTTCCAATTGGTCAGCCACATCTTGGAACCTTTGTCCTAACAGGCAGATATCGTCGGCGTATTCTAGATCGCTTAGGCGTGTGGTTAACGTCCATTGTATCCCTCTTGTGTCAGAGTCTAGTTTGGAGAGAACATAGTCTAGAGCTATGTTAAAAAGAAACGGAGAAAGCACGCATCCCTGTCTGACTCCAGTAAGTACGTCAAATTCGTCACTGTTGATCCCATTGTGTGTCACGCTGCATTTCGCTTCAGTGTACAGTAACTTTATAATGGAAATTATTTTATGCGGGATGTTTCTTAGCTCTAAAATTTTCCATATCGCATCATGAGATAAGCTGTCAAAAGCACGCTCGAAATCAACAAAAACCATGTATAGGGGTGTCTTCCATTCAACCGATTGTTCCATTATTAGCCTCACAGTATTAATGTGGTCTATGCAGGAGGATTCTGGTCTAAAGCCTACTTGATTAGCTCGAAATTCAACCTTGTTTGTTAATCTTTTAAGTATGATGGTCGTGAAGATTTTATTTATGGCGGTAAGCAAGGTTATTCATCTCCAATTTTTGCATAGTGTGAGGTTGCCCTTTTTTGGAAGCTTAATAATGATGCCTTTTTTCCAGCCCGCTGGAATGCGGTTTGTTTCCCACACCTCTCGGATTATGGGGAGCAAAAGTTCAGCAGTTAGATGCGGATCAGTTTTAAGTATTTCGGCAGCAATGTTATCGATTCCCGGAGACTTGTTATTTTTCAGAGATTTGATAGCTGTTATTATCTCTGTTTTGGAAGGGGCGTCGCAAGATATACGCAAGTCTATATTCTGTGGATTTTCGACAATTTCATCTGCGTTATCCCTGGGCGTGACTAGCATCTCCTGAAAATGCTCTTTCCATCATATATATATATATATATATATATATATATATATATATATATATATATATATATACACGGATATATTGGGTTTAGTAGTCAATATATTGGCCTTTAAGTAAAACTCTTTTAGGTTTGCTAAGCTTTCGAGTTTATTTTACTCTTTTTCAAAACATACTAAAAATTAACATAAAAAATTTACATTAGAAAAATGAAGTTCTTATGTCTTCAATAGGCTTACCCTTGTGAGAATTGTCTTTTAAAATTAGCAAAATTTTACATTTTGTCATTATGTCATTAACATAATGACATTAAATTTGATTTACTTTTTATTTCTGTCAAAACTTATTACTAAGGTTTCCATGTCTCTTCTATTTTTTATATTTATTTTAGGTGAGTTTGACAGAGGAAGTGTTTATGTTTATGCAAACCTTCATTGCAAATTTTGATATAATATTACAGTTATTAAACAAGCAACAGAGTTTATGTTACTAAGTATTTAAGAAAGAAAAAATACAAATAAAAATAAATTTTATCTCATTTGAACTTGGAATAATCCCTTTCATATGCGTAACTTTTAAGAACTTTTATATTGTTATTCTTTTATTTAAAAGAAGATTACTGTATATAGCACTAAGATTTTCAATGTCTTCTCTTTTGTTTAAGGTGTTTTGTGTAGTTTTAATTAAACACATTTCTAGAAACAGTCTTTTGTTGTAATTTCTTTCCCTTCTCAATATTTCTGTTTGATCATAGTTAGGCGTATGGCCCATTGTAATACAATGTTCACTTAATGCACAGGCTTGTACTTTATTCAGATTAATATCACTCTTGTGAGATGTTAATCTTCCGGACAAATTTAATGTTAATCAAACAGAAATATTGAGAAGGGAAAGAAATTACAACAAAAGACTGTTTCTAGAAATGTGTTTAATTAAAACTACACAAAACACCTTAAACAAAAGAGAAGACATTGAAAATCTTAGTGCTATATACAGTAATCTTCTTTTAAATAAAAGAATAACAATATAAAAGTTCTTAAAAGTTACGCATATGAAAGGGATTATTCCAAGTTCAAATGAGATAAAATTTATTTTTATTTGTATTTTTTCTTTCTTAAATACTTAGTAACATAAACTCTGTTGCTTGTTTAATAACTGTAATATTATATCAAAATTTGCAATGAAGGTTTGCATAAACATAGACACTTCCTCTGTCAAACTCACCTAAAATAAATATAAAAAATAGAAGAGACATGGAAACCTTAGTAATAAGTTTTGACAGAAATAAAAAGTAAATCAAATTTAATGTCATTATGTTAATGACATAATGACAAAATGTAAAATTTTGCTAATTTTAAAAGACAATTCTCACAAGGGTAAGCCTATTGAAGACATAAGAACTTCATTTTTCTAATGTAAATTTTTTATGTTAATTTTTAGTATGTTTTGAAAAAGAGTAAAATAAACTCGAAAGCTTAGCAAACCTAAAAGAGTTTTACTTAAAGGCCAATATATTGACTACTAAACCCAATATATCCGTATATATTACTCACATAGTCACTAAAGCCCTTTCTAAGAATATATATATATATATATATATATATAATATATATATATATATATATATATAGATGACTAATAAAAATTAATAAGACTCAAGAAAGATAAATTAATCACTTACTTGCTTCTGATTCACCCATTAGTCTTGGCATAAGATAATCTGGCAAATTTGGATATTCCATGTTTATCGCCATATCAGTTTCCAAGCCATACAAACCTTTCTTATACTTCGACATTGAAAATCTAGATGTAGTCGGTATTAGATTACAATCGTCTACTGCGTATAAATTGTCTTTAGAGAGCGATGGTAAGATACTTTGGAATTCTGGCCTTTCCATCGAGGTAAAGTAATCGGGAATTCCGTCTAAGGTTATTTCTCCACTCATAACAATAGTTATTGGTAAAGTTGGGGATTCGTAGTAGGTGGGAACTTTCTCTATAGCTTTTAAGACTTCTTCTCCTTGTAGTAATTGACTAAAATATTAATACCAACTATTAAACAGTGACATATGACAGACTGGAATATAGAGCTACATGATTATTTTTTTGCACACATATATCTTTAGATTTATGTTTGGTGGATTTTTCCTTTATAACTCTTTGCCATAAATTTTTAAAGATTCCTATAAAATATTTCACCCCTTTTTCTATCGATGCTGTCTTTGGATCGAACGTTATATTAAAAAAATCAGATCACTTACTTTTATACGCACATTTATTTTTGTGTCAAGGAATTGGTGCAGTTCAAGTTTCCACTTGAAAATTAAAAAAATATGTCAAGTATGTGCTTCACTTTACGCCATGTTTTCACCAAGTAATTTTAAAATTGAAATTGTAAATTAATGCAATACTTTTACCAATTTCATTATGATTACTTGAAACAACTACCCGTTGTTTTCGGCATACCAGCAACCAGCGTTGTTGTTTAATATTCACAAACCGGCAAACCTCCAAATAAAACATCATCTTATCGACTTATCATCCTGTTTCCAAAATCTTCGAAAGACTACTACTTGATAGACTGAAGAAGGACAATAACCTAGATGTAGAAATACGTATACACTAGTCTGGTTTTAGAAAAAGACTCTCCACAACATAAAAGACTCATATAATTATAACAAAAAAATATTACATAGCGGACTCTTAGATGTAGAAAAGGCATTGATAGAGTATGGCATACTGGACTCTTACAAAAACTCAAAAGCATTCTTCCAACCCCTTATTACCTAACAAACTAAATCTTAACATTCACCAATGACATCACCATAATAGCTGTCAATGAAGATTCCACTATCACGTGCAAAACTGCAAAACCACTTTGACCAATTGGGAACATGGCTCAACAAATGGAAGGTGAAAGTAAATGAAATGCAGTCAACCAAAGTACTTTTACAAACCAAAGAGAAGTATGTCCAACAATAACATTAAAAAAATTATACATAATTACCAGCCACCACACATCAATTAACATAGAAGCAGCACATTCAAGCCAATAAAACCCAGATCAACATCAATATATTATGGCAAATGAGCTGGCTTAAGGGTCGAAAATTAATACTCACTATTGAAAATAAACTGCTCCTGTATATAGTGTCCAAATCTGGAGTTGCTCAAAGCCATAAAATATCAAGATAATAGAAAGAGTCAGTAATAATGGATCAATACTGCTAAACGCTTCTCCCGGATTTGCAAGACGATTAAAGAAATTATGGACAACAGACATTAAATATACGATCTGATGTAAAAAATAAAACAGGAAAGGTGCCATAAGGCAGCTTCTCCCTCATGTATTTAATACTCAAACTATTTACTTATAGCTTCGATGAAGCAGATTATTAATTAAAATATGTAATAAAATTATTTTTAGATGTTGCTAAACAATATAGACTAATCAAGTTAGTAAAAATTAAGAATTTTTTTGTCACAACTGTATAGACGGACTTGACAGTTGAAATGTGTAGTATAAGATATTACAAAAAATACCTTTCTAGGAATTTAGGAAATTCTAGGAAATCTAGGGACAATTAATGGCCTCAATATTGATAATTTGAGGTTCGCAGATTACACGATGATGTTAATTACAATAGTTATGAAGAACTTTAACATCTAATAGATAGAATTACTATAGCACAGCATGTGATGGATATGGACTGAAGGTAAACAGCACAAAGACAAAAGTGATGGTTATCAGTAAAACGCTAATACAGGCAGAAGTGGTAACAGTTTATGGAGAACAACTTAAGGAAATCAACGGTATCACTTACCTTAGTTGTAATCTAAATGAGCACTGGGATATAAGCAAAGAAATTAGAATACGCATAGAAGAGGCCAGAGGTGCATTTTTTAGGATGAAGAAAATTTTATGTGGAAACAGTATCACTTGAGACTGAAAAATAGATTAGTAAGACTGGACCTAGACTAACATATTTCTCAGAGAACTAGAAGACTTTGAAATCTAAGTGTATTAGAGAATCCTGCGAATATGTCGGTTATATAGAGTCCGTAACGAAGTTGTTTTGCAACAGATGGGAAAAGTTATGGAAGCGGTCAGAACAATTAAAAATCTCAAACTGAAATATTTTGGCCATGTTACGCATCACTCAGAGGGGTATCATAAACTCCACTTAATAATACAAGTCAAAACAGACAGAAGATGAGAGCAGGTCAAAGAAGAACGTCATGGCTTAGAAACCTGAGCGAATGGTTTAACAAATCTCCTGCATCCCTTTTTCGAGCAGCCGTCAACAAAACTAGTATAGCCAATTTGACAGCCAAAAGCAGAGTAGAATTTGAGCCTTGATACAGTAGTAGACAAAATTAAAATTGCTTATTGATCTATATGACTAGACTGTAACATATTTTTATGAATGGAAAAAAAAGTTATTTCGTTTTAGTTAAAAATATTAAACACATACCCAAAAGCTACGTAGTTATAATCCATCCAAGGAGTTGGAGCCAAAGTTATAAAAAACTGTGTACTGTTTTCTTTATGTCTACCTGTATTCGTGGTACATAAAACCCCTCTTCTGTCATGTGGAATTACATAATTTTCACAAGGCATCTTTTTTTCTGGCAAATTCCATCGTCCGCATTGAATCCAACTATTTTTTACTATTCTTTTCAATACAAATGGTAATTTAGGTATTTATATATGTATATATATATATATATATATATATATATATTATATATATATATATATATATATATATATATATATATTATATATAATATATATACGTTTTTGAATGGCCATAAATTGCTTTATATATGTTGGACATTACGTTATCAGTGTTGGCGTAATGACGTAATCGACCATATTTTTAAATACAAATCGACGTCACGGGATACCTGATTTGAAAGGTCTCCTAATCGTCTTAGCAACGGTGTAATTATTTAAATATTTATTTCTACAGTGTTAACCAAAACTGTTGGTTTAATAATACAATTAAATTAAAATAAATGTTTGGTAAAATACAATCAAATTATAAGAAATGTTGCAATTGATGACCTTCAACAATGAAGAAAGACGGACAATACTTTTTTCCCAACGTTTTCGACGACTTCAGGAGTTATTTGTACAATTTCCATTCTGATGCGCTCATTCAACTTTTTTACATTATTCGGTCGACTTTAATAAACGCTGCTCTTCAAGTATACCTATAATAAAAGTATATCGAAGTCAAATCTGGAGATCATGGTGGCTAATTTCGTACCTCCACGCCGTAGTGTGGGGGATTCTCATCCTGTTGGAACCACACATCATTTCTATTAATAATAAATTTCATATAACGAGGAGCAGAAGTATATATATATATATATATATATATTATATATATATATATATATATATATATATATATAAGCGAGGTTCCTACAGCCTCTGCCGCTTCTCGCATTTCGATCGCCATCGTTCTCTGTCCATCCATTCGTCTTCTTTGATGGCTCTATTTCGCATTAGGTGTCGTACATTTTCTTCCCAGGCAACTGATGGTCTTCCCATTCTTCTTCTTTGTTGTGGTATGTAATTTAAAGCTTTCTTTGGCCATCTATCTTCATTCATTCACTTCACATGACCATACCACACTAGTTGTCTCGTTTCAATTCTGTCTACACTGGAATATACAGTATTTGTCCTCCTTCTAATATCTTCATTCCTGATATGATATTTTGGATATCACCACACGCTCTCCTTAGAAAATAAATCCATTTCTATTACTTCTATTCTTTTTCTATCTTTTTTCGTGATCTGCCCAACTTCTGCCCCATAAGTCATAATAGGCTCTACCAAGGTTCGATAGATTGTCAATTTTGTTTCTTGTCTAATATCTTTAGACCATAGTAGAGAGTTCAGAATCTTAACCGCTTTTTTTCCCTGCTGCGTCCTGTTTTCAATGTCTCTTTTGGTAGTGCCTTCCTTAGATATTATAGATCCGAGATATTTATATTCATTACATGTTTTTTGTGTTTCTAAATTCTAACTCTGGATCTTCTTCGTCATCTCCTCTTTTAAGATACTCTGTCTTTGACATATTCATATTGAGGCCCCATTTTTCATATTCTTTCTTTAGTTTTCTAAACATGTAGTCCATGTCTTCCTCATCATTCGCTATGACTACCTGATCATCTGCGAAAAATAAAGTTGTTAGACATTTACTATGGTCTATGTCTATTCCCATTCGGGATACTTGTTTCCTCCACTGCTCTAGCGATGATTGAATATATATTTTAAATAAGGTCGGAGATAGACAACATCCTTGTTTAAGCCCCTTTGTTATTGGAAATGATTCAGATATAAAGTTTCCTTCTTTAACGACACTTCTTGCATTTTTGTATATATTTGCGATATAATTCACATACTCTTTACTGAGACCTACTTTCGTCAATGTTTGAAACAATTTTTTCAAAGGTACCGTATCGTATGCCTTCTCTAAATCTACAAACACTAGGTGGGTAGATAGATTCCTTGCCTTCCGTTTTTCGATTACCTGCTGCGGAACGAATATACCATCAGTGCACGATCTTCCTGCACGAAATCCATTTTGTTCTTCTATGTCTTTGTATTCTGATTCTATTCTTTCTTTTATTATTCGACCGTACAACCTCCACACTGAGCTGGTAACAGTTATTCCCCTATAATTAGAGCATTTGCGTTTATCCCCTTTCTTGAATATTGAGCTGATGTAGCCAATATTCCAATCATCAGGGATATTTTGTCCTTTTAAGCATTTCTTAAATAGTTGAACCAACATCTCATGCAATATTTTTGGTCCATACTTTACCAACTCAATTGGAATGTCTCCAGGTCCTGCTGCTTTACCATTTTTCGATCTTTTGAGTGCATCGTTTAACTCTCCGGTTGTTATTTCAATTATTTGTGTGTATTCGGATATTTCTTCCATTTCGATCTCTTGGAATTTACATTTATCCTCTGTCAGTAAGACCTCATAATGTGTAATAGTGTTTCCACTGTTTCAGATATATATACTGTAAGTTAGATTTTTCCTTTCCTTCCCTTCGGAGAGACTTTATCACCTTCCAAGCTTGCCCAACTCTTGTTCCACCCATATACCTATCCACCTCTGCACATCTTCGATCCCACATCTCATTTTTACTTTTTACTACTTCTCTTTTTACATCTCGATTTAATTTTTGATATATCTTGTAATCTTCATCCTTTCTCGTTGACATCCATTTCTGATAAGCAGTTTTCTTCTTGTTGACTAAAGTTTGCATAATCCCCGACCACCATTCTTGATTTTTTGTTTCATGTTTGTCTTTATAACCCAAAGCTTCACCTGCAGCCTCATGAATACATTTTCTCGATCCACATTTTGTAGTTTTGTGGCCAGTCGTAATTTGTAAAGAAATTTCGTTGAATCTTCTTTTAAGCTTTCTAGGTTATATTTAGGGGATGTTACTTCTTGTCCTTTTTCTATATTCTGTACTTGAGTGTTATTGTGTTTGCGATAGTTAAATATCACGTTGGCTATAACTAAACGATGGTCGGATCCACATTCTGATCCACGGTATACCCTTACGTCAGTTGTTTTCAGCTGGGAAGTTTGACGTTAGATTACTTAGTCGATTACCGAGCGCAGATTTCTAGTAGGTTGTATCCATGTAAAGCTCTGTTATCTTTACTTACTCCACTGTAGATATGTATATATTTTCCTATCTCTTCATTTCCTTTTCCCTTTTTCTTGGTCTTGGTGAGAATATATATATCTATTTTTTTCCGCTAATTATTTGAACACCTCTGCTTGTTTGGATCTAAGTCCTTGTACATTCCATGTAGCGAATATCCTTTTTCTTTTCCGTTGCATTAGTCGTCTTTGTTTTGATCCATCCTTTGTATTCCGAGGCTTTTGGTCGAAATCTTTAGCATTTATTTGTTTTGACAAGGGATGAGTTGCTAGCCCATCGCCTCAACCCTCCTCCTCCTGAGCTACTTAATCCACCCAGCACTTACCGGAGGCGGAGTTGGAGCAGAAGTTTTCCTCAAAAAAAGATGGTCCTATAATATGATTGTTTTTAATGCCGGCCCAAACATTCAACTTCTCAGAATATTGAGTGCTATATTCTTCTATCCAACATGGATTTCCACTTGCCCAGTATGGATATGTCGGTTTACGTGACCTTATGTATAAAAGCCCATTCATCTGAAAAAGTACCGTTTCTATTAAACTCTCATCTCTGTTACATCGTTCCATAATGGTTTCGCAGACTTTGATTCTTCTATCAAAGTCATCTTCTAGCAGCTCCTGGACTAGATATACTTTGTACGGTCGCCACTTCTCCTTTTTATTATCAGTCTAACAATGGTGTTTAATAGAATGTAAAAACACTGGTTTGTTTTCACTTCTCCGCTGGTTCACTGGTAAATAGATTTGAATTGAAACGCTGTGGACTGTAATTTTGTTTAATTGTAATAGATGTTACAGGTCTAGGTACCTGTAAACTCTTACTTCTTAGTTATAACTTATAACTTATTCTAAAAATGTTATAACCAAGCGCGATGTTGACATGGTTGCCATTTAACAAATAATAAAAAATCCGAACAAATGGTAGGTATAGGAATTTTCGGAATATGAGGTAGGAACGCCTGCCTCATATACAATAGTAATTGATGGCCACTCAAAAATTAACGATATATATATATATATATATATATATATATATTGTGTAAGACTGTGATAGATATATTATAATAATTATAGTAGATATTTAAAATTTACCTGTGAACTGGAGTACCAGTGTAACCTCCATTTATATCTTTGCATCGTTTAAGAAAATTTTCACAAGCTAGCGGTACTAGATCATTGTAAAGCTATAAAAATAACAACTACTTCAAAACTAATCGTATCACTGAAATTGTATCAGTATTGCCTTGCTATATAAGTAAACTTGGGCCGGCTTCCCTAATTTTATTCTCAATATGTTTATCTTAGGTTTTACAGATAACCGTTGCTCAATAAGTGCTGGTCTGCCTAGTAAAATAACATTTTTTTATAAATTTTTTTATTTATTCATGAAAATAATCTCCTTCAACGGCAATACACCCATTCCAACGCTTTTCTAATTTTTCGATCTCACCCTTTTAAAACGATTTATCTTTGCCTTCAAAATAGCAGTTTCGGCGATTACTTTCTCATCGGAGCGATATCTCCTATTACGAAGAATTTTTTTCGATCGAAAAAAGTGATAATCGCTGGGAGCCAGATTTTGGTAAAACATCAAATTTTTCTTCAACAGATGAGGTCGTTTGTGCGGTCTGCAAATGCTCCAATAAACCAATATAGTCGCTGTTGATTGTGTCTCCATATTTCAAATAGTTCATGAAAATAATTACTTGCGGATCCCAAATTACAGCGCCCGTAACCTTTCCGGCCGTTTGTTGCGCTTTTGGTCGCTTTGGACGTCTTGTCTCCGGTTGATGTCCACACAGATGACTACCGATTTAATTTCGGATTGAAGTTATGGGTCAATTCTTCATCCATTGTGACCTACTGATGGAAAAACTCTGTCTTATCCTGATTAAACATGTCCAAACAACGCTGAGATTCATCAATTCGTTGTGGTTTTTGTTCTGGTGTGAGAAAACTCGGCACCCATTTGGAGAACAGTTTTTTTTTTCTCATATCCTAATGTTTATGTGTAATAATGAAAATGGTACCTGTTGAAAACTTTAGAGTGTAAACTTTCTCTTAAAACTGTATTTTACTACTTTCCATAATAATTTTCAGCATTTTTTCGATGTTTTCGGGAATAATTGCATAATTAGCTTTTGTAGGACCGCGTTTTAATTCAGCAAACCATCATTTAATGGTTGTAATCGATAAAGCAGAGTACCGGTAATACGTTTTGAGCCATTGTTCAGATTGGATGGTATTTTTTCACATCAAATAATAGTGAATCAACCCACGACATTGCTTTGAATCAATTGTTTATACCGATCACATTCACACACTGTAACTCAGTAAACAATAATCCGAATGACATGAACATTTTGGCAGTACGATTTTGAAGGTTAGGACCATGGTACAAAGAATAACTTTCATTCTTTGTACCGTGGGTTAGGACAGGAGTGATTAATTACAGGGACCCGATCCGTCAACTGCGCATGTGCGAGACGACTGCGTTCGAAATATTTCGAACCATCTTGCCCTGTCGACTAAAAATTGTTTTAAATAGTTTCCTGTTTACGTAAGTTGTAAATATGTCAATGAACTGTTTTGAATGTGGTAAAATTTTCTCAAATCAGTTTTTAGCTTAAATAAACATATAAAAAATATACATGGTAATCTTTCTATGCCGATGTAATATGCGGAAAATGTGCATTTAATAAGTGTCTGGCATATTTCCAGTAGCTTTTTTTTTCAAACCGAAAGGACTCATATATTAATGAAGTTTATTTTACAGAAATTATGAAAGTTGTTGGAAAAATACAAACACTCTGTTTTATGTCGGACATTATATATATATATATATATATATATATATATATATATATATATATATATATATATATATATATATATATAGTCCCAAGATTCCTAAGAGGAACATAGGGCTTCCACAAAGTGTCTCCAGTGAACTCTATTTCTGGCTAGTGCTTTGATTTCAAGCCAGGATTTTCCCATTTTTCTCCCTTCGTCCAGTACTGTCCTTATCCAAGTTCCCTTAGGTCTGCCTACTTTCCGTCGGCCTTGGGGATTCCAATCCTGTCCTGTAATGTCGGACATTACTTCAGTTTTTTATGGAAGAGTATTGAAAAATTAAGCTATTTTAAACACGTTTTAGAACGAGACAACTTTTGAAAACATCCACCTGAAGAAAACGATTTATGCCAACCCATACAAGATTTACCAGAATATTATTTAAATTTAGTTCATTAATAATTTCTTTACTTTCAATAACAATAAATCAATTTAAGTTTATAATATAACTTATATAATAATTTATTATAATCCCTATTTTCACTCATAAACGTGTATTACGTTAAATATTTTAAATTCTCTGGTAAGTTAACAATATCCATATGCTTATGCTACTACAACAAAATAACAATGTTGGACCGTTAATATCAAAGTTCAAAGTCGTCAATATACATTAGATTAATGTGATTTTCTTTCTTATTACTGAGAGTTCAATTCTCTATATTTTAGTTATGAAAATAACAACTATGTACCTGTAGTAATAAATATTTTAAAATTTCCGAATTGTATGCCTAAATAGTTTTTATAAATTTGCTCAGATTTTTTTAGTTTGGAGATGTCACTTTTGATGTCATTTCAAAGATTGCACATGCGCAGTTGACGGATCGGGTCCCTGTAATTAATCGCTCCTGGTTAGGACTACCGAAATGTCAAATGGAAAATCCATTAGAGTCGCCATCTCGTGGTTAGCCCCGGGACTTATTTACTGACTTATTATAATGTATTCAGTTAAGTATAAGCGGCTTTCTTGACCAGCTAAACGTGTTTTAAACACAAATAAAAATAGGAGAAACAACACAAAAGTTAAAGATCTTTCTAGCCAAGTAGTAAACGGAAGTGAAAATTGTTTGATCACATTATTGAAGGAAAATAGGAAATATTGAATGATTACATATTGGCGACCATAGATATAATATAACGAAAAAAAGTAACATCACATATAAGATAGGTAGAGGATTTTTATAAGAACGTTAATTCCAGATGGATACATATGGCTTGATATTGTTTGGAACAATTGATGAGCGAAGGTGACGCTTTGTTAAATATTTGAGGATTTGAGATTTTTATTGTTATATTATACATTTAAAAACCTTCACAAGGCAAAATGCATGTAGAAAATTAAAAAATAAAGCATATTGACAACAAACAAATGATATAATAGAAGACTTAAAAAAAGGTAACTGTTGATAAAATCACAAGGAGATACAGAGCAATGTAGGATAAAGACTTTTAGCAATTACCATACTAACTAACCTTGGAATACCTTTTTGTAGTTCTAACAGCATATATAAAATACTAAAATATCGAATAAAGTTTGCTTACTTCAAACATCATCGTTCCAATTACTTGATTATTTATGGCTATGGTAAAGTAAGTTATTTGTCTCTAAAAATAAAAATATAAAATATAAGTTTATGCGATAAATAAGTTTATGCGAAAAATTGATGTTTACGTGAAAAATATGACTGTTTTCGTACGTGAATTTTTAATTGGAAAAAGTTTCTCCTAATGTAAAGAATTCGTTAATTTAAATAGAGATTATATTATTTGTGACGCGTCATTAGAGAAGCACTTCGATGAAGTATTCCGGCACCTATAATTTGTTTTTAAAACTTTCATTTTGTGAAAAGTTAATAATTTATTACAAATGTTAAACTTTTAAAAATTAAAATCAACTTTACAACAACAAAAGCAAATTAATAGAATTTATAATCCGCCAAGATTATACTAATTAGTCATAATGAGTTAATTAGATGTTCAAGTAATTTCCATTTTCAAAAAATTATAACACCACTGTTAAAAGATATCAATGATCCAAACAACGATTCACAAACATTTTGAAAAATTTATTTTAAATTAATTTTTAGTAAAAAAATTGGGAAACTTTAGTTATGGTCAGCGTTACGCTTTATTTTTAAGATGTGTATTTTACCCTTTTTCGCAGATTTGATATTATACACATACACATATTGATTATCAATGCGCCGAGTTTTCGACATCCTCTCTGATGTCTTCTTCAGGGCTTCCGAGGTCTCAGTATCCCGAGCCCCCAGAAACTACTACACTGATCACTAACCAATCTAATACTGCCCCTGCGAACAGAGAACGGATAATTTATACCGTTAATGGTGACATGGTTTGGGTGGAGGTGGGCGTGGGGGTTAGCGTGGTTGATTGGCGCGGGGATGGGCGCGGGGGTTGGCATTTTTTTCAATTTCTATGGCTTCTCGTATAATTCTTCGTCTATAGAAGAGGTTGGGGATTATGGTTCTAGAGTTTTCAAAATCAAGTTTGTAACCTGTATGAACATGATGTTGACCTAAACCAGAAATTAAATCTGAATTGCGAACAGAAATATAATGTTCAAATATAATGTCCATCCTATTTTGGATTCTACGATTTGTTTGGCCTATAGAGGATCGGGGGCAGTCTACACGTTCTTTATGATAATGTCGAGAAACAGTAGGGATAAATCAGTTTCCACCTCCATCGTGCCCTAGATACTAGGATGTATACCATTCAGATGGGTGTGAAAAGACACCAAAGCATCCCTGCCATGGGGCCAAACGACAAATGTATCGTCAACATATCGTAGCCAACACGTGGGTTTGAGCACTGATGTGGATAGTGCTCGAGTGTTAAGTCTTCCATAAATATATTGGCAATTACTGAAGATACTGGGGAGCTCATTGGGGCACCATTTATATGTCTGTAGATATTTAGAGTTTTGTCTATATGAATGTTTGTGAGTGAAACGATATCGAAACTTACTAGAATGTCTGACGTTGAGAGAGGGTATTGTTTAAGAAGTTCGATGAAATGAAAAGCATTTTTGACGAAGGATGGGCTAGGGCTTGTAGAGTTTTGGCCAAGTACTTGGCCAATGATTGAGTAATGCAGTTGTATCCACTGACAATGGGACGTAGAGGAATATCGGGTTTCTGAATTTTGGGTAGGCCATATATTGCAGGTGTACTGGAATACTTTTCACGAGGATTTATAGATTGTTTTATGTCTTTAAGTTCTTTCAGGTGTTTTTTCTCGGATTGGTTAATGTTTGGAGTAGGAGGCTTTGAGTTTCTAAGAATATGGTGGCAAAGGTCGAAATAGGGGTATCAGAGAAGTTATGAACCACTATAGTGGGTTTCAACGTTGTGGTTTTTAAATTTGTTCGGCAATTAGATGCGCTAATTTGCGCTTCTGAATTTCAGTCTTAAATTCGAAAGTGTTTAGGGCTGTCTGTGTATTGATACGGTCGAATGTATCCCATAATATACATTGAAAAAATTAATAGATGAGCATATATTAAAAATATTGATATTTGTAACATCTAGTTTTCGTCTAGTGGAATGAATAGCTTCTGGTCTTTCTAAGAATTTGGGAGATAGAAAAAGAAGAAGTATGGTGTTTGAGTTTTAGAAATTTTGGATTGACTTTATGGTCTGGGTAGGCTTTAAGGAATGTTAAATCACAAAAAAGACGATTGCTGTATAATTTAGTGAGCTGGTAAAATTCCTCCCCGAAGAGATGAATAAAATGTTTCGAAAGATATGCGTGGTTATTACAATTAAACCTAGAACTTTTGGTTACAGTTTTGTTAACTTCTCTATTTCAGTAAGAATATGTTCTCAAGTCTTCTGCATTTTGTGTTTGTAAACAGATTCGATAGGCTTTCTTTTTGGTATCTACCAACTATCCGGTTTGGTCTTGGTTTCACACATTTTCCTTATACCCTATGGCCTCTTGTTTTGCATTATGTATACAGTCATATTTTATTTGACAGTATAGTTCTTCCACCGTCTTGTTTTCTTTTTAATATTGTGTATTTTTTTTAATATTTTTAGTATAGTGTAGTTTTGTAGCCAATCGGCGTTTGTACAAAAATTGGGTGGATTCATTTTTAAGACTTTCTAAATTATATTTGTTTACATTCATATTTCCGGACTTTGTTTGTCATATTAATGGTCGCTGTTGTTTTCTTAGTATTTAACTAATACTTTTGTCATGGGTAAGCGGTAATCCGATTAACACTTCGCTCCTTGATACATCCTTACAGCCAAAACTTTAAGATTTTACTATTGGGCATGATGACATAATCAATAATTGACCTTAGCCCTTTTGTTAGCTGTGTCCATGTACGTTTGTGTACGTCTTTATGAGCGTAGAATCCATTTGTCACTTTAACGATAAGTTCTCACATAAGTAGGGTGACCATAATTTTTCAGCAAAAAAAAAGTAGATTTATAATTTTTAAGAAAATATGTACACTGCTAGTGCCCTAGGAAATTTTTCTGGTCAAAATTTTACGAATCTTTAATGAAACAATGATAAGAACGATTTTTTTAATCAAACATAAGTTCATAAAAAATGTATGATAAATTTTAATAGTTAATTTTCTTTCGACGTTCCTTTCTGAACATCTTGATCATCATTTTGGTACCAGTCGTACTTTTTGGAACTATGAATTTCCTTCAGAACTTATGGTTTACTCTTTAAGAACTGAAACATTTCATTACACGAACCTTTGAAGTTTGTGTAGACTTGCATGATGGCTTCCAGAGTAGATATTTTCAACTGCGATTTGTTGGGACTCCAATAGTTATTTGATATTTAAGAACAACCGCTCAATCGACGCACTGGTCCCGGCAGACAAAAAACCAACTCACATAAAAGTTTGAGATTTTTCAAAGCCCTTTCTTTTTGGAAGATTTCGAGCCATCGATCTTCAATAGAAATATTTTTCGAATTCCCGTCTGTGATTTTATTTTCTGTAACGTAGGTTCGTATTAGACTAACTTCATCAAACAGTTTGTCCTGATTCAATATCGAACCTACGTAGTCTTTGAAAGCCTCACACGACGATAAAATTTCAGCCCGAGAAACTTGTTTTTTCAAGTTAACTCATCCAAATAGCTTTAGTTCACTTAAATTTTCACTCCAGGTTTTCAAATATGTTACACAATTTGAATAGAACTGCTTGACATGCGTGATAAAGATATCCCGATAGTTCACACTAAGGTCAAGGTCTTCCATATTTTCAAGTTTTGAAAGGGACACTCTTACTTTAAGCAGTAACAATAACTTATTTAAGCGATTTTGAAGCTTATTTATGAGTTTGAAATGCTCCAAAGCGGCTTCCGTTGCGCATATTTTGTCACTTTCTACATCTAAAATCACTTTGTAGAAGAGAGACGCAATGTTATGCACAAACCACACCCATGATTCACTGATTGGGTTTTGAAAAAACTGTTTTAGAACTGTTGGACAATTATCAATCGACAAAAAATATGCTTTCAAGTGTTCGAACATTTGTATAATTGGTTCAATGGCTGGCATAGGCTCAAAAATCTTGTTTTTGAAAACGACAACATTTTTTGTAAACAGTTATTAAAAATGTGTGCCAGACAACCAATTCCAATCACAGGTTTACCACGAGAAGCATTTAATTTGCCGAATAGATTATTCACTCCTTTTTTCCTCATTCCACCAAAATTTGTTTTTGTATTATCAGCAGACATTCCGATGAATTTTTGTAGTAATTTATGGTGGTTCAAAATATTGACCACGTAATCTTTTAACTGCTCTGATGTTTCACCAGGTAAGTCACGTAGCTGCAGTAATTTTACTTGTACACCATTTTCTCCATCAAAATATCTTATCATTAATGGTACAACTTTAATTTCTCTATGATTCGACGAATCGATTGTGATGCTGACGAAATTTGCTTTTCGAAGGTCAATTTCTAATTGGGATTGAGCGTCTTGAGCTAAAACATTTTTTACAATCGCCTCAGTCTTGGTTCGAGCTGCCGCAAATTTAGGTTCAAACATGCTTACAATTAATTTTGACGTGCAGTCTAAGGATCTAAAACTTTGCAAATGATTAATTTTATGGTAAGCAAAAGTACCTTCCTTGGCAGCAATTAACATATTTTCATAACTTAAATTTTCTTTTTTAACAAAGGTTTTCAATTTGCTGCTCTTCGAGTTCGCATTAGTAGCCAACATGTGTTTTTTCTTTGACAAATATTGTTTGATATTACTGCGACCACTGTTAGAAATATCAACATCACTTTTACAAACTTGGCAAAACACAATATGAGGTGAAACATTTGATTTTTGTTTCATAAAAGGATACTCTGCTTACAACTCGACGTTAAAATGGCATTTTCTTCTAGGCGGTGACATGATGGAATTGTTTATTTTTCCACACAGCACAAAATAATAAAAAAAACGATGAAAAGTGTCGGTAAAACGTAATCAACAGTGAGCGCATCAATTCGAATCATAATTATATTTTGTTTGGACAAAAAGTAGGACTTAATTTTGTGTAATTAAGAAAAAGAGTACATTTAGGTGTACTTCATAAATTTTAAAGTACAATAGGACAGCGCTTGAAAAGAAAGTACTGTCCTACTAAAAAAAGTACATATGGTCACCCTACACATAAGCCAATAAGTGGCGCACCATTTTCATTTAAAACAGCATATCTATCTGACTATTGTCTCTTTTTCCCACTTTAGCGTTTAAATCTCCCAAAACGAATACTTTTTGTTTAAAACATAAATAAGTCGTAAAAAGTAAAGTTAAAAAACCAAAAAATTAACTTTTTTTGCACTTGTGATGAGAAAGTATTATGGACAGAAACCGAATGTCTTTTCCAGATAGAAGTTAAGAAGATAATATTGTTAATACGATAGCTAACGTCTGCTAAGCTAATACATCACACGGAGAAGAACACAGAGAAATACTAGATCATTTTTCAATTAGTTGCTTAAATTTTAGAGATATACCTATATTTTAGGATTCTACTTATAATTATTAATTAAAAACATTAATAAATTGTAACACTTACGTATTTACCCATCTTCTCTCTCAAAAACTCCACAAGATGACATTTTCCAATTTGATCTAAATCTAAATTTAGCGAAAAATGGTATTTTTTAATAAGGTGGTTAACAAATGCTTTATCATCTCCAATGAATTGTTCATTTACAAATGCTATAACTGGCTTTTTCAAAGCCCAAATTCCATTACCAAAAGTACGTTGCATCTAAACAGACATAAAGCATAACATTATTTATTTTCTATAGTTCGAAAGCTATATTCTATTGACGCAAAAATCGAAATTCTTTATTTTTATTTATCTTTTGTCTTCTAGCTCAAAAATTATTTTTAAACTACAAATTTTTGAAAAATTGTTTTTTTACGTCTTTAAAAAGAAAGAAAATCTGCATACAAACACTTGTGACCCAGGTAGTGTTGGGTTCCTTATACCCTAATAAAGTTGTGCCAGGACGAAATGTCCGAGGGGAGTAGACCTTTGATACATCGTCCCGTTACTACTCCGAGATGGTCGGCGCCTAACTTAAAACCTCTCCTGTGTCTCTCTCGACATCAGGATGGAACCGCCAGTTAAAACCACACCAAAATATTTTCAATCCCCTGCCTTAGTGAGGCTGCTATCCCTCTCACGCCGTCTCTCTTCCTAATGCCCTCTTATTTCGGCCTGCGACAGTCCAAACTCCACCAAGGTGCTACTCACTCATTGTAGAATTCAGTTGCTAGTTCTCTGTCTTCTCGGTTTTATGAAGAGACCAACTCCCTAATAAATTTGTGGATTTGTGTCCACCACTACTCATCTCTTGTCATTTTCTTCACCATTTCTCTCACGGAATTAAACATTCTACAGATACACTCTCTTTCAAACTTATCTTTTTCATCCACCCAACGCTCGTTATGCTCACAGACCACTCAGCTTCGAAGATTTGGAATTAGTGATTTCGTCCACTCGTCCAAATCACGTGTTGCCTCTCAAAGTTAGTATTTCTACCGCTCCACTCCAGACTGGGACCGCATAAAGGACGACACGACAGACTGCACAATAGCGTGAACTGCCCTCCTCCTTTCGGATTTGGCTCCACCGATATTGGACATTATCCTCCCCAACGCATTCATGTACTGAATAACTTTACGGGTCACCCCCCTTAAAAGTTTCCCCAACACAGACTTTTACGGTCTAAAACTGCAAAATGTCTGGTGTATAAATATTTAGTAATGGTGTGAATTTAAACATTTCTATTTCACTAGGACAATATATTTCTGTGTTTGAGGTAGAGATTTTTACAATCTTACAATCCTACGACAATAGACCTGCAGTCATGGAGCTCTTATAAGTTCTACTGTAGACTCTAGGCTAAAGTGAGAATGCCAAAAGGAATGCCAGAAAGCATCGTTCCGTCCGGAAAAAAGGCTGAATCTGAAGGCCACATAACGTTGTTGTTACAGTTCCATCTTTGTTTGTTGATATATATTATTTTATTAGTGAGTATATAGAGAATTATAGAGAAGAGGTACTGTCCATGGAGGAAGGTTTGGATTAAAAAAATGTCGAAGTATTTCGAATTTTAAATTGGTCGTAATAAGAAATTGAGTATAGCTATCAATTAAAATAAGAGAACATCGTATCTGGGCCACATACTTTGAGAGGATAAATACTGAAAAGATAAATACACATCATCATTACAAGGAAGAGTAGAAGAAAGAAAAGGGTTGGGAAGAGAGAAGAAAGTTTGGGTGAGAAATATCAGAGATTGGACTAACCTCAGTGTTGAACAGATATTTTACGTTGCAAAAGATAAGGAAGGGTTTAAAGAAGTGATCGCCAACTTTCGTTTGAAGACGGCATAAAAAAAATAATAAATTAAGGCTTAGATATTGTCTCCTCTGTGAAAGTAGAAGTTTGTTAGTAGAGGCTTTGCATAAGATTTATGCACTGTGTACCTAAGGAAGTTGAAAGGTATGCATTTGGAACAACATCAAGTAATTTTAAATGGGATTTTTGAAGAAACTGTAGTTAATACATGCGTAATAAATTTTGTTTTCATTAGTGATTTTTAAATGGCAAATTTAAATAATCTGCATTACATTCTTGGAGGGTAGTAATTGTAGTAAATTTATTCCCTATTAACAACATTTCTTTAAATATTGTATATAAAGCTTTCCAACTTAGTTTTTTATTAAAAATTATTTAAACGCTTAATTCCTTTCAGTCGATTTCTCCTTTAAGTCATGTTTAATTTCGTTACCTCCCATTTTCTCTTACCTTCCTACTTACGCATGGGTACCATGTCCGGCTGTTATTTTTTTCCCTGCATCCGACGTTGAGTGTCCGAGCCACCTCGTGGTATTGGGCACCATAGTGGTCACGTAGAAACACTCCTGCATAACCGAGGTTGGGGGGCGATTCTGTTTGCACCTTCTTTCCAGACCGAGGTATATTTCAGACGTTGACACCCCCCTTCCGCACCATAAAAGAGAAGAAAAAAGCCAATGTGTGGTGTAAGTTTGGGTTAGGTTTCCTTAGATTTGTTTTTTTTTGGCCGGACCTTCTTCTTCTTATGAAGGTACCTTCTCCATTACTAAAGGTTAGCAATAATTACAGCAAATCACTGTCTACTTTGAGCTGTCATTAACAATTAATGAGTGTCCAAGCCTGCCCAGCCTCTTATATTCTTCAGTCGCTAGCATTTTATTCTTTCTGGAACCCTTTTTTCTCTCCAGTTTCTCTTGCATTGTGAGCCGTAGAAAGTTGTATTTTTTCCTCTATAAATATTATTGTTCTGAAGCTATTTTCTTGTGGCATTGTAAATTAATTACTATTAAACTGGGAATAAGCCACAATTAAAGATAAAAATACGTTTATTGACGTTTCAATTTCCACTTCGGAAATCGTTCTCAAAATACAAACAGTAATTTACTGTTTGTATTTTTATTCTATAAATTATTATTTTACTCTATAAATATGTTCTAGATAACTCGTTTTTCTATTTTCTACAATGTTTATGAGTTCTCTCTCAGTCCCTATCCTTCTCAGCACCTCAGTGTTGGTCACGTACTCTATCCAAGAGATTTTCAGAATTCATCAAAAAATCTACATGTCAAAGATTTCTATCCGCCTCATACTTGTTATTCCAAGAGTACATGTTTTCATTCCATATAACAGTATAGAATAAATTTACCAATCGGTATCGGATATCTAACGATAAGACAGAGTTTATTAGGAATTTCTTCATTTTTTTAAAAGTGAACTTCGCATAGCTCGTATTTGGATCTCGTGGTCAAGATCGTTTGTTATGCAGCAACCAACATACTGAAATCTTTGTAAGTATCTGATATAGATACGAATATTAATGTTGCATTTGTGTAGTTGTAACTGCCATTTAGTTCTATTTATTTGTGTTTATTTTCACTCCAAAAATACTCCATACCGTCTTTATTTGCCGATATCTTGATACTTAGTACTTAGAAGCGGGATTTAAGTTAAACAAAAATTCGTGCACTGGGTCACGAATACACATGAGTTCACAATATCGTCTTTCCCATATACCCTTTTCCCATATCAGCTTTTATAATATCTGCCATCCGGAACACGCCCTATTATCTTCTTCGGATACCATGTGCAAAGCTGTACGTCGACGATAAAATATCCAATTCTTTTATGTTCGTAAGACAACCAAGACCTCCTGTTCGGCCTATCTAAATGTATTCGACACCAGTCCCTTGTATTTTTTTATAGGACGTAGTTCACGGAATACGCAGTAGCTCGACTAAGGGTCCACAGCTCTAAGGGTCGATCCTGTTTAAAGCCTTTACTTTAAGTGATTAAGTTTTGACTCCATACAACGAAATATATAGAATAGTGAATGAAGAAGAAGATTCAAAGAAGAAGTAAAGAAAGACAATTTCAACGATCTTGTTAACGTTGACTTCTCTGTTTTATACATTGTACAAGTTAAACAATCCTCAATATTTATTTTCTTCTTTATACTAACAATTACTTATCCCCAATGTCTCGTTCTATCTTTAGTAATACCTTTTTTTTTTCCTTTGTTCATCAAAACTTTGATAAATGCACTCTGAAGCAAAATTTAAGATTGTACCTATTCCGTGGTATTGGTTTTTAGAATCTGCCAGATATTGAGTTGCATTCCAGAATAAAATTTTTTTTTGGCTATAATCTTCTTTTCCAATGTTACCAATTTACATCTGTTTGTAACAATAGACGTAAAAGTAGGCAATACCTGTTCAACATCTTTTATATGTTTTAAACTTTTAGTTTCAATAAAATTTGTTTGCTAAAAAAATGGACGAAACTTGTTAAAAAAAATAATTCATATTTTCATAATAGATATGAACATATTTTTGTAGGCAATATACGCAAGACGTATGTGTCTATGTACGAAAATTGATAACACAAATGTTTCATTCGGTAAACAGATGGGTGAAGATCGATCAAGATTTGGATCTTATACTAGATAGAAAGGGTTGAAAATACAAATCCCTGTGAACTTAGATTTCAGAAAATATTGACCAAATAACAGAAATAAAGGCAAGGATAGAAATAAACAAGAAATGCGTTTTTAAAAAATGAAAACAATTCTCTGCAATAAAGAAATTAGATTAGAACCGACAACCGAAAGTAAGATGTCACGTGTTTTCGATACTACAATATGAACTTGAAAACTATACACTAAAGCAAGAACACATAAATAAGCTACTACAGTCACTTGAAATGTGGTGCTACGGAAGGATGCTTAGAATAGCATAGAAACAAAGGAAAACAAACATGGAAGTATTGTGAAAAATGGGCAAATAATACGAAATAATGAATACAATAAAGGTAAAAAAGTTACAATATTCGGTACACGTAATAAGAGAACAACGATATGAAATGCTAACATTGATAATACAAGGAAAGACTAAAAGGAAGAAGGAGTATAGGAAGGGAAATGTCATGGTTAAACAATTTTAGGGACTGGTTTAGATGCAGTTTAGTAGAACTTTTCAGAGCAGCGGTGGATAGAGTAAAGATAGTGATGATTATATCCAACCTCCGATTGAGAGACGGCACTTAAAAAAGAAGAAGAAGGTGCATGTACATGCACCACATTAATATTAATCGGTTTGGTGCCTATTTGAAGAAGTATAATTATGGCTGAATATGCTATTACTTTTTTTACTGATTTCAGCAAGTCTCTCGATACAATAAAACCAACTTCATTTCTATGACCTGTCTCGTTGTTCTCGGAGTAATACAATACTGCATGGGGTTATTAGCATTCCCTGGTGATCTAAGACTTATCCGGGACTAAGCTACATTATTTTGAGGTTACTTGTCGTAATAAAGAAAATGTAAATTAATTACTATTAAACTGGGAATAAGCCACAATTAAAGATAAAAATACGTTTATTGACGTTTCAATTTCCACTTCGGAAATCGTTCTCAAAATACAAACAGTAAATTAAACAAATTTTGTTTTTTTGTTACATAGTGAAAAATTCTTCTAATAATTTAATTTTATCTGACTCATTTATATTGACAATTCAGACATACATTATGCATTTTAAAGTAGACGACTTTAAAATGATATTGCCAATATTGTTGAGTTGCGCTCCTGGGACGACTTTACTTATAAGATAGTCCTAAAAGAAACGGATGGTAAAAAAAGAAAAATCAAAGAAGCGGCTCTAATTATGCTAAATGAGGCCAATTGTGTCGCAAATTCTTCGGCAGAATGTAGTAGGATCTGGTTACCAATATTGAAAGAGGAAGTTATTAATAAGAAAATACCAGTATTAGTAAGTCAGTAACATATAGAGGATACATCATTTATGTTTTTTAAATAACGTAACATATAAAATCAGAATTTTGATGTTTGTTGAAGGTAAACTAAATTCACGAACAAATACTTACAATGTCAGGATAGTATTATGAGGTTTTTTTTTCCAGGTTTTCCCTCATAATTTACTATGGAATCACTAACAGGAGAATTTTACTGTCATCATGTCATGTGTTTGTCTTTTTAAAGACGAATTACATGCTATGATTTTTTTCTGACGGATATTCTCAAGTTAAAGTTGATTTCATGTAAACGAATGAACTATCTTATAAGTAAAGTCGTCCCAGGAGCGAAACTCAACAATATTGGCAATATTATTTTAAAGTCGTCTACTTTAAAATGCATAATGTATGTCTGAATTGTCAATATAAATGAGTCAGATAAAATTAAATTATTAGAAGAATTTTTCACTATGTAACAAAAAAACAAAATTTGTTTAATTTACTGTTTGTATTTTGAGAACGATTTCCGAAGTGGAAATTGAAACGTCAATAAACGTATTTTTATCTTTAATTGTGGCTTATTCCCAGTTTAATAGTAATTAATTTACAATGCCCCAAGAAAATAGCTTCAGAACAATATAAAGAAAATGTATATGGATATTGCCATCCTAGATATATTTACTGGAACCTGGCCCAAAATGACATACTAGGGTAAAATAGCACATCCGGTGTATCTCTAACTTGGTAATATGGCTATGCGCTAAGAAGTTTTATACAAGAGCATCACGTGGTGCATAATTGATGTTCCAACGGGCGTCGCGATCAGTTCAGTCGTTTACTTGTTCAAAGGTGATTTGTGCTTTATTGAGTACCAAAATATTTTGGTAGTCGACGTATACTTCGCTATAAAACGTTTAAAACTTTAATATTTTATATCTCTGTTAGTTCCAGGTATGTATTGTTATTCATATTAACAGAAACATCATGTTTGGAAGCTTTGTTTGTTTAAACAAAAAATTTATTGTAAAAAACGTGTTCTTGTTCACACTTGGGTAAAACGACATATTAAATACTCGGGTAAAATAACATAGTATGTTATTTTGCCCATATAAATTTTAATAATAATATGGTAGGTAGAATATTAATGTATGGTATTTTTATTTTTTAGTATGGTGGGACACTACGAAAGGAAAAGTACACGCCAGTCTTGGGATCCAGTACAAATGCAAAGAGCCATCCAGGCAGTCCACTGTGGAGACATGGGCTGGTTAAAAGCATCGATAACTTTTAATGTGCCCCAAGCTACTTTAAGAAGACGAGCATCAGACAAGAATAAACGGGTATCAGGTACTAATAAAGGTCTTGGCCGCTACGAAACTACGTTCTCTGTAGAATTAGAAAGAGACCTCGTAACACACATAAAACTCCTAGAATCAAGTTTGTTTGGATTATCTTGTGATGACGTTCGTTCTTTAGCCTACCAGTTAGCAGATCAAAATGGAATAGTACACCGATTTAACACAACCACTAAGATGGCTGGTTGGGATTGGTTACGAGGGTTTCGGTCTAGACACCCCGATATAACCCTTAGAAAACCCGAGTCCACGTCTGCAGCAAGAGCGCAATCATTCAACAGGCCGCAAATTGCCAATTTTTTTAAACTTTTAGAGGATACTATTACAAATAACAAAATTAATCCTACACGCTTGTGGAATGTGGATGAATCAGGCCTATCCGCGGTTCAAAAACCCGGCAAAATATTTGCAACCAAGGGTCGGAAGCAAGTGGGCCTAATTACAAGTGCGGAAAGAGGGCAGCACATAACGATGGTTGCTTGCATTAGCTTAGTGGGGAATTATGTTCCACGAACACTTATATTCCCCAGGAAAAATTGGAAAAAAGAATTAATAGATGAAGCGCCTTTAGGAATACAAGAAACAGGATGGATGACAGGCGAAGTGTTCCTAATATGGATGAAACATTTTAAAGAATATTCTAATCCTTCTATAGAAGACAAGGTTATGCTGTTGCTTGATGGGCATGCGAGCCATAAAAACATTAATGTTTTAACTTTTGCCAAAGAACATGGAATAGTGATATTGTGTTTTCCGCCGCACTGTACCCATCGTCTACAGCCGTTAGATGTATGTTTCTTTGGTCCATTAAAGAGCTACTATGATCAAGAAGTTACCAAGTGGATGAAGTGTCATCCAGGCAGAACAGTTTCGCAATACCAAGTTGGAGGATTATTTGCTACAGCGTATGGAAAAGCAGCTACACACCAAAATGCCGTTAGTGGATTTTTAAAGACTGGAATTTGGCCCCTTAATCCTGACATATTCCCTGATTATTTATTTAATCCTTCCAAAATAACAGATATTCAAGAAGAAGTTGCAATTCAACCCCTAACAGAGTCAAAAGAAGAGAATGATAATGTTTTGCGACATTAAGATTTTCCAGATCAAGGAAACAAACCGGTTTCTACACCTAAACCAAACTCACTTGAAAGTTGTTCTTCAATTAATCCTGGTATTCGTAAACTTGACATTTCACCTCTTCCATCGTGTTCAGGTGTCCAGTCACGCTCAAAAAAAAAAAGAAAATCAGAAGGAACAAAAGTTCTAACGGCTACCCCAAATATGAAAGAACAAAAAGCCAAAGCACTCGAGAAGCGAGCTACAGAAAAACGTCAAGCTGCAAATCGAGCAATTAAGAATCTGACTTTAATGACATAAGATCGCGAGGAGGAAACAAAGACCATTGTGTCAGATGATGACGAAGACGAAAATAATCCTCCATGTTTATATTATAACAGTTTGTATTCCCATTCAAGGTCCAAAGAATTCTGGATTAGGTGCCAAAAATGCTCAAAATGGGCACACTGTGATTGTGCTGGTATCTCAAAATCGTGCAAAAAATTTATTTGTGAACTTTGCTAATTTAGTTTATATGACATTTTATCCATGTGAGTGTGTCGTTTTAGCCAAATATATTTGGATAAAATGACATAGCAACGTTTATTTTGTTTCCTTTTTTTAATTAAAAAATATTGTGTTGTTAGAGTTTTATGTTCCATGATCTGTTCTACTTCTAAACAACGAACAACATTTATGTTTTTTTAAATTTTTATTAAAAAAATAAAAAAGTTATTGGACGACAAAAAAGTAGTATGTCATTTTAGGGCAGGTTCCCTTATTTTGTTTGTTTATTTGTTTTCGCTCATCGTAAGTTCCTTTTATTGTCGACGACATTAAAGATAACGTTTCCATTATCTTCGATCTAAGGTTATTCCACCTATACTCGGTCGTCCTAGCCGCGTTAACCTAAACGTTCCTAGAACGTCCTAGCCCCGTATGATTAACCAGCGAGAAGGTGAGGTTGACATTTGAGTACGAGAGAAATCACTACCCCATTGGAACGCCCTATAAAACACGATCAAATTGAACCTGTAAAAAACACCAGCCGTGAAAACCTGCGTTCCTTGATAATGATTCTGTTATTCTAAACTTATAATTTGTTGACAGTATCATTTCATTTCATTAAAACTTTGATTTAAAATAGGTTCTAACCCAAAACGAGTTTTATTGTAATTTTCGTAAATTCAAATTTTATTTGACCGGGTTAACATGGTAAGATGCATTTGCTCCAAATTTTCGGTTGAAGAATCAGTTGGAATAAGAGCTCAACTGAAATTTGCTTTGGCATTTGATGTGTAATTGGCGTTTGTTCTGTAATCAATGTAAACCTTGCAATTTTGCTGTATGGTAGATATGTTCTTATATACTATTAAATGTGAATCTGTTTTAATATGGTGTGTTTTCTTTCTGCAGAGATCTATTATAAAAATACTTAAATTAAAAAAAATATCTTATAATCCCTTCTTATACTTATCTCTTCAATTTTTGGCACATTTATAAGTATTTACCTTCGTCAAAAATTGTTCCCATTCTACATTTAACATCGGTTTTATAACAGGATGTTCGTACTGCTTTGGAAAACTCCTGTACAGCTTTATGGCGAGAAATCTACATCTCTGAAATGCTGCACTCGTTATTATTCCAGAAATTTCAAACTTTTCTTTTGCAGATTGCGGCTTTTCTTCTGAATAATCCATTCTACTGTGATTTTTTTATTGTTTGTTAAACTATTCAAATCAAATAAAAATACTTAAAAGGAAATTGACAATTAAATGTTAAAGTAAATAAAAAATAGATAATTGTCAAATTTTGTATCATTTAACCATAGATAAATAATATAGTATATAGCATTTAACTGACAAGATTAGCTTATTTCTTAGACTAGTGGTACTTTGTTATCATATGTTGCCATTTCCGTAAATTTATAGTATACAATACAATAATAGTTTATTATTCTGTTTTTATTGCTTAGTTACCAACTACGTAATAGCACAGAATAAATAACAATCAGAATGCCCACTCTCTGATGCCGCCTTTGAAGTTTGTCAGCACGCGATCGCCATATTTTAGACGGAAACGTAGACTCGAATTGAGAAATTTGTGACAAGCTACGAGAGAACTGTAATTAAAATTTTTAGAGATCAATAATTTAGTACATTTGAAATAATTTAATCTATTCTTCAACTAAAAGTATGAATAAAATAGTGCATATTATATCTGTAGTTAAGGTAAATAAATTAAACCAGGTTAATTTGTCTTTGCACATCAGATAAAATGTCACTGAACAGCACTGGTTCCGTTTAAAACATGGCTGATTCCGTCTGCGCGAACAAGTTGCACGTACTTATTTTTTCAAGCAGAGTGGGCATTCTGATTGTTTATTATTATGTGGTAATAGTGTACTTTATGCCCGCGCGGGCATAAAGTGTACCTTATGGCCCGCACGGTCGTAAAAATACAAACAAAAAGATAACTTATTAGAAACATCTTTATTTAATAACATTTCAAAACATTATTTAGAATTTTTAGTAACTTTTGCGTTGCTTTTTCTGCTTTTTTTAAAATTTGGTTAGGGTAAATTTGGTTCTCTAAAATATTTTGCAGTGGAGGCCATAAAACGAAAAAAGAAGAAGAAGAAATATTTTGCATTTTCACAGTTTTAGTTTGACATCATTTCCGTAGCGTAGCAGCATAACACGTACGATAGAAAATAGTAAATATATTGTCAAAATAAAATCGAATTTTCGTATTTTTTAGAACATGTATATTTGTAGATGCAATAAAGAACTAGTATGACATACAAGTTTGTATACACCGTGGGTATTAATCATCGAGCGTATTAATAGATGTATATGCCAACGGGTGACGTACAAACACTCGGACCAGAGGCCCTAAAAACTAAAAAACGTTTTTTGGCTTATTTCAGGTGCTTCTGAAGATGCTATATTAAGCGAAAGTACTTGGGCAAGATTTGATTAAACTTATGTTCGATATTTGCCTTAATTTTCAGAGTTAAAAAAATATTTTATTGTTTTCTTGTTGGTAAATCAATAAATTCGTAAAATATTTAATATTTTGCAGTGTATTGTCGTTGGAAGTATTGAATACGAATTGAATACAAAAAATATTTAAAATGGTTGGATTTACTGGAAGTAATACAGCGAAAACACAGCAGGCAACAAAGATAAGATTACGTATCATTTATAAGTATTACGAATATGTAAGAGGTATCTTCTTCTTTGGGTGCCTGTCCGTCCCGAACGTTGGCGATCATTCTGGCTATAATGACTTTGTTGGTGGCTATAAGAAATAGCTGTGTTGAGGTCTTTCTATAGCATGCTCTCAGTTTAGCAAGCCAGGATATTCTTCTTCGTCCTGGGGCTCTTTTTCCTTCAATTTTACCTTGTAAAATGTATTGAAGTAGCTCTCGTATCTGCCTTGATTTCTCATTATATGGCCCAAGTACTGCAGCATATGGCCCTTCACGATGTTGACCAAATCCGCAATTGTGTTCACCCTACGCAGTACTTCTTCATTGGTGACTTTGTCCATGTTATCTATAAGATCCTTCTGTATGACCATAGCTCAAAAGCCTGAAGTTTTGATAGAGTTTCCGCCTTCAATGTCCACTTTCTACTCCGTACAGAGGCACTGAGTACACATAACATTTAAGGAGCCTTTTTTTTTTCTAGGGTGAGGTCATGGCTCTCGAACACAGAACTCATAGTCAAGAATGCACTCTTTGCCTTTCCGATGCGACATTTAATCTCTTGGGTATTGTCCCACGACTCATTGATTGTAGTTCCCAAGTAGTTGTATTGTGAAACTCGTTCAATTCTCATTTGGTTCACATACAGATTTGCTCCAGTTATGTTTTCCTTGCTGATGATCATTAGTTTGGTTTTGCTGGTGTTTATATCCAGTCAATATTTTCTACTTGTTTTCGTTATTTTGTTCATTAAGTTTTGCAGCCCTTCTATGGTATTAAAACACTATTGTATCATCTGCATACCGCAGGTTATTGAGCTTGACTCCATTTATTGAGATACCTTCATCAATATCTTTTAAAACCCTTTCAAAAATGTGCTCCGAGTACAGATTAAATATCAGTGCTGAAATTATGCACCCCTGTCTCACTCCCCTTAAGATTTTAACCTGATCTGTATATTCTTCATCAATTCGGAGTACCGCTGATACTCCGAATATACAGGTTAGCTATTATTTTTAACTTTTCCGTCAATCCCTGTCCTCTTTAGCACTTTTATCATTTGTTCATGTCTGTCATCTGTTCATGTAAGAGGTATGGAATTATATTATTGTATCACTTTTGTTGTGGTCATAGACATATAATACTGATAGATATATTGAAGATATACTGAGTGCTGCAATGAACACGTGACTTTCTCATTGGTGATATTGGTCGATAGACCTGGCAAATTAGAAAGAGATGCAGGGACTGTTTTGCATAAATTTGGCTGTCGCACTAGGGGAACGGGCTGGTATTGCAAATATATGTGCTTTTATGTTCTAAAAATAATATTTTTTTAATTTTACAATCTTCAGTCATTACACCTTTTGTTTAAAAGTGAATAACAAAGAAAATATATAATTATTGTATGTACTGACATTCCAGAAACAAGACCTAAAAGATTGGTAGTTCGTAAGGAGGCTGCCTTTTGAGTTGGAAATACTTTTATTCAGTCTAAATATGGGATTAGATGGTTTTCTGTGATAATTTGATGGAATTGTCTTTACTGACAAATGTCTGGATGGATGTTCTCGTTTCTGTAATTTTGAGTGGTGTGTGGTGGTTGTTGAGTGTTTTGTGTTGTGGGTTGTGTGTTCTTTGTTCTTTGGTTGTCTAGGTGTGGTTTGTTGTTAAAGTTGGTTGAGTGAGTGTTGGTGACAGTGTGTTTTGTGCTTATAGGGGTGTGTACGTGTAGGTATGAGGGTTTTGGGGTGGAGGATCATGGTAAGGAGTGGATGCTTTGGATGTGGCCGGAATAGGAGTGTGTTGTTCTGTGTGCGTGTTTTCTTTGGTGTGGTGAGTATTTTTGATGTTGTGTTGTTTGTGTCTGTGTATTCTGAGGGTTTTAGCTTGAATATGGTTATGTGACTGTGGTCTGTAATGGCTTGCAGATCCTCTTCCCGTTTTATTATGTTCAGGAAATACGCTGATAGATTGAAAGAGAAGTGAAGACATTTTAAGAAGATGTAACGTACAGTATATAAATGAATAGACACAAAATAGAAAAAAGAATAGAATATCTACATAAGCAGAATGGAGGAGACCCGTGTCGTCAAAATGACAATAGATAAGTCGCCAATCGACAAAGAAGTATCGGACGACCGCGCAAAAGATGGAATGACAACCTTCCATAGGGGTATTAATCCGCCAATGAACAAGCAAAATTGCTTATAAAGAGGGGGAAGAAGAAGATCTTCTGTTCACCTTTTTGTAAAAGAAGCTGTTCATGTTGGATAAATTATTCTGTAGTAAGAATCCTAGTATCGTTTCTCCTCGGTCATTTTATCCTGCAGAACCGAATTTTCCCAAGGATGTCTCTAGCTCTGCTTCTTTTTCATGTATTTTTACGTTGAAATCGCCACATAAAATTGTGAATTAAGTACGAGAGTCATTAAGCGCAGTAGATATATCGTAATAAAATATTTAGATTTCTTCATCTGTATAGTCTGTTATTGTTATCAACTTTAGAATAAGATATGTCACTCTACATATTATAGGTACTTTGGATGTTTATTATCTTGTTCGTTTGATGTCTATGAACAAAGAAACTGATGCCTCCAATGATGTAGTTTCAGGGCCAATCTGATAAAATATATGCCCTGGTTTAAATGTTTTCAAAGTTTTACCTCTCTTTCTAACTTCGCTGATTCAATTTTCATTTCTGTAGACTTTTGGCATTGTATGTACTAACGTAAAGAGTTATGAGGTTTTTGGTTTTCTGTATAGTCAGTTTTTTGTCCTCTGCAGAATCTTTGGAACACACTGATAAATCAGTGTGAGATTTTGGACGCATCCTACTTACCTAGGGTAAATCCGTATTTGTTTTAAAATCTGAGATCGCGGGTAATCTGACAAGAGGTATATTGGCATTAAAACACCATGCCTGCCAGACGGCTTGGTGAGTGTTCGCAGTATCACAACCTTTTAAATAAACTTGATTGCCGCCTGCGACTTTTTGGTACCGCACCTGTCAGGAATTGTATTCTTCAACCACGGGCCACTAATGACACAGCTGCTGACCTGTGTCATGTCCTCTGACCTGCCAAGCCTTATTTGTACTTGTCCTGTATATCTACAGGAACTTCCCTATCAGCAATTGGAACGCTCCCAGTCTGTTTTGCTCAGAGTACTGAAGGACCCCTACTTAGCTCAGAATCCCTCTACGCAAGCTAAGACCGGCACCATCTTAATACAGGTCACAAAATTGATTTTAAAAATTCCAGAACCATAGCCACCATCCGCTTTTATAAACCAATAATTATCCAAGAAGCCATAGAAATTCAAAAAAGGGAAATTTGTCTCAATAAAAGAGATGATAGCATACGGCATACGGTCCGCTCCATCCGATAATCAAAATCCTGCTGCAAGAAATGTTCGCGCAAATCCCCGCGCCAATCCCCATGCTGTCCCCCACGCCAACTACTACCCAAACCACGTCACCATCGACGGTATAACTCACCCTTCCTCTATTCCCAGCAACAGTAACACATTGATTAGTGATTATTGTAGTAGTATCTGGGGGCTCGAGAGACTTAATAACTTATTATAATATAAATCTCGATTTCTTGGTTATAAATTTGTGTACTGCCTTTTTGATTCATTTTGCATTTTCTTAATTATGTTTCAAAATTTTTCGGGATTTTCACTTTAAATATGACAGCATTTCCTAGCACCAATAATGTCTACTATGATAAAATGAAAATTTTAGTTTGTTAATTATTTTAAAGGCTTTCTCTTGACATTTAATGAGGTAATATGTTCCAGTGTAATAAGATAATATCTTCCATCGCTCTGCATAATAAATAAACACAAATATTATTAACAAGTAATAGTAAAACAACAAAACCAATGTTAAACATATATTACAATAATAAATAAACTTAAATTTGATCAGTACGGCCTCCACACTGAAGGATCATTTTGAGATTGTGCGTTTCTTTCAGAGTCCTCGATTCTTAAGGAATCGACATGTGAATGCACCACTTCACTATTCTGCACTGCTTCCACCCTTTGGGGATTTGTCAAACCTGCACTATCAGTTAAATACTGCTCACTTTTGATGTAGGGTTCATTTTTGTACGGGTCCAGCTTATCACTGGGGGCATGTAGGTGGAAGTGTATTTGGCTTTGATTCACAGTCGAATATAAAGAGGGATACACCACCATTGTGGTGGGATTTAAATACTGCTGTTGGTTGTAGGAATGGTTGTAGTAGTTGTTGTTGTACGCCGTTGAGTTTGCTGGCCAGTTGTTCGGACAATATGAGTTATTGTCGGGGTATCTACTGCTGATCATTTCTAAATCAGGTTTGGCACTGTTGAAGAGGGGCGGCGGAGAGGTCAGTGATGTTGTGATGTACTCATTCGAGCTTGAGTCTGGAAGAACTGAAATCAAAATAAATTAGATTAATAAAATGGTTTTTATCAACAAAAATATATTTAAACCACAAAATGTATTTCTATAAAATTCTAATATTAAGGTAGACTTGAAAATCTCATTTTTGTCGGAGATTTCAATTTTACAACTAGCCCATTAATTCCAAAATTGATACTATCAGCTCCCAAAATGTGTTAAAAAAATTTATCATGAACTTATTTACTGCAACTGATAACTGAACCCACAAGGTTTAGAGCCAAAATGATGCTTTTTTACACCTAGTTTTTACAAAAATGATGATCAATTAGTTTCTACAACGATCAATTGAAGTGTCGTTTTCTATGGATCTTTCTGACAGTCGCTTATTATGGCTCAAATTCAATATATCACTTTGCAAAAATAATTTGATAACGTGAGCTACTACTGATTTCTTTAATGTTAATTCTGTTTTATCTCAACTAGACCGACAATCTGTTTTCTTAATGGCTCAGATCTATCGTAAATGTGCGATTCTTTTCTTCATACTGCTATTAAAACTATTGTTGATGATCCAACAGGATGGCAACCACAAATAAACCAATTAAACCTTTTAATCAGCCTCTCAGCTACACACTTAATTCCACAAAAGTGAAAGCTTTAGCGAAAATATAAACTCACTGATTTCCTTGCTTTTGATTCTCTTGAAACTAAGTCAAACAATCATTTGCTAAAGGTAAGAACAGAAATGAAAGAGTCTATCATTGAAATAGTAGTTGTAAAAAAGTTTATCGGTACATTCGCACATTTTTATCTTCTGAAGTCTCCATATCATTACTTCAAAAAGCTGACAGGTCTTTATGTTCTTCGAAACAAAGAAACAAGAACTCTTGGAATATCGTCATTTTTTCCGGTTTTCACAGATACACCTAACGATAACGCTCCTTAAATAATGTGATTACGTCTGCATTTAACATTTGATAACATCTTTTTCGCACCGGAGGCAATTAAACAACATTTACGTAAACTACGCAATAATTTTTCGAGGGTATTATACAGACTAATCTTCTTTTCCTTAAATAATTTAAAAATCTATGGTTATCTAAGGTTATCTTCCTTCATTCTGGAAATTTTCTTCGGTTATTGCTATTTTCAAGAACGGCAATAAACTTGATGGCAATAGATATCGCCCAATCTGTTGTCGGCAAGGTAATGGAATCCATTATTTCTGAATTTATGTCTAGTTTCTCCTTCAAGAAACTGTCATCCCTCACTTACAGCACGGCTTTCACAAGGGTCGTTCACACTTACTTCCGAGTTTGTGTGTAGATAAATCAGTGTAAATAAACCAGTCAAGAGTGAAGTCCCACAAGGATCAGTACTTGGATCATTGCTCTTTTTTACAATAGCGATATTCCGTTTATTGTATCCAGAAAGGATTTCATTTATGCTGATAATAAGTACGAAATTATTATGTGAATCCCATTATTAACCAAGATGTTTTTCAACACGAGGTTGACTCAATATTCAAATGGTCCTCAGAATGGTTACTTCTTCTTAACATTGCGAAATGCCTTGTCCTATACTTGTATTTTACTAATGGACATCCCTTAATGGACATTCCTTAAACTCGATAATCTGTATCAACGATCTATGTGTGATAATTAATAATCACTTAAATTGGTCGGATCACATAGGTTGATGTGTAAACGTGCAAACTCAAAATTATTTCTGATCCGTAAATGCTTTACACAGACATCTCTAATCTCATTTTGCAAACTCTACAAACGTACGACCTCATTATGAAGATAGAGTCTCTATAGCTCATCTAACGACATTGGAGCTTCAACGTCTTCGAAGTGACCCAATTCCGTATGCTAAAATTTAACTTTGGAAATCTGAACACCATATTTAGTTTAAGCCAAGACAATAAGGCGTGTGTATGGAATATGCATGGTATGACAGCAAGGTCCAGAGTAAGCCTCTTGTCAAACAGGATATTTAATATTTGGAATAATTTAGATCGAGATATATTTGCGACAGCAGTAAACAGTTTTAAGAATAAACTTGATACTACTAAATTTTGTTTATAGGAATGCATCCTGTTTGACAGTTTGGTTTTGTATATTTTTTTTACTCATTTTTCTATAACTGTCGAACAAATAAGGGGAGGAGCTCGTTTCCTTGCCCTTATTTGTTCTATAATAAAAATAATAATAATATGGATGTTAAGTCCAAGAAATTATAAAACATCTTACCGGAGGTTGCCAGGCGTTTGTCGGAATTAATTATAAAAAATAGTACGAAAAAGTCTTTATAAACAACTAGCCACCAAACTGGAACTCCTCCAAAACAACCATCATTTTTATTAGAAATACGTCCCTGATGGTAAGCTTGAAAACGACAACTACAAGCTATATTTGGTCGCACTGTGCTAACAAACCAACCAGTGGCATACAATGGATCGGATTTCATACTAGTTAATCAACTAACTAGTTAATCTTAATTAATAAGATGCCTTTTAAATGTAACGAGAAGATCGCCAAGTATAAAGATCTTGATATCCAAATAAGAGACTTTGGAGAATGCATAGTAACTCAAGATGATATCTATTATTCTCTTTACTATGGTGTCATTGCGAAGAACCTCGTAGAGTATAATAAACAACTGAGTCTTAGTGAATATTTTTATAAGACCAAGCAAAGAGCAGTACTGTTCTCAACATCAAGATGGGTCAGAAAATTTTTGGGAGATACTCTGGCTTGTTAGGTCACCATGTTGAAAAAAACTGAAGAATGCGAGGTGAAGGAAAAAAAGCGTAACCATGGCTTTACATGATCGGTTTATATTAATACAAGCACTGCAAAACAGGCGTAAAACATCATTTATAACAAGAAACGAATTGGAAGAACTTAATGTAACCAGAATAGGTAATCGTGCAATTAGAAGCTGACAAACCATCCGATTTAAAATGACAAAAGATAAAAAAAGCTCATTACAATATTAATCTTGTTACAATAGAATAACAATGTTAGAATGATGAGAGCTTTCACTTAGAGTTTATTGATGGGAGGAAAAGACTATATCGATGCGCAGGAAAACAAAATGAAAAGTCTACACAGGTTCTTTTGGAGACCATATGTAAGAAAAACAATGACTAAGTAAACCTGTATTATTTTAAAAATGAATCTGGACCTTAACTTTATATTTAAGTAGACTACTCTAGAGATATTTATTTCTATATTTACTTTTATCCTTTAAGATATCTATATCTGTTTCTTCGAATCCGTTTTTATTGTGAGATTGGTGACTTAACGCGTTTTAAGTGAGGTTAGTTTGAAGTTGGGTTTTTGGCATTAAACCACTAGGCTTGCCTTGCGTGTTGGTAAATATTCATAGTTGTTGTTCCCGCAAGTGGCTAGGTAAAATTGTCCAGAAGGAATAAAGCCGATCGTCAATAGATTTCGCCTGATGGATCAAGGCCATCGTTCCTGATCATGTATCGCATGGCCATTTAGTTCTTGATATGGTTGCTTTCACTGTAACTTCCGGATTTTACATTTCATTTTATTCGATACGGTTAAGTTTTAAGGCATTATTACCTTTTTAACATCTCTCGTCTGCTGCATAACCCATATACGATATGTACTCAGTGGTTATGGGACGCATTGTATCTTCTAAAACGTAAAACGATTTTTTGGCAGAGTGGAGTTTTATACCCAGTTTTATACAATAACAATTAGGCATTTCTGAAAATTTTGTAATAATAGCAAGAACTTCTAGTAACCCTAAAATTTATAATTGTTGTCTTTTAGTAAAAGATTGTTTTAAGTGTTTTAGTTTTGACTGTGTCTCCACTGTATACCAAAAATTTTTCTTGTTAGGTTCGGAGAGGTCATTAAGATTTTAAAGTCCTTTTAGATAGTTGTGTATGCAGACATCAAAATATTTTATCGTTTACTCGTGTCCACCAGACGAAAATACAAATACCAATAGTAATTAAAATTGATCCGCATAATAAAAGTATTTAAGTTTGTTTACCTGTCGGTAGGTGTATAGGTGTGGCGTGCGTCGAATCTTGATGTGGATCATAATAATTCGTTTGAGGACTATAAGGGGCGTACGAATTTGTATATTCAGGCCAAGAACTCGAAGGACAATGTGTCGTACTACTTGGATTGTCATCTGAAAAGAAACAATTAATATTAATAATAATATGGTAAATTTTGCTGAATAATGCAATCAATGTTAAACAAGTTGTAAACATTACCCTGATCTACATTTGGTTTTTAATAATCTACAATTTATTTCTTTTTAATAATTCATTTATAGTATTTATAATAACTCATTTACAATTAAGTAATTTCTTGTTTTTAGACATTTCTTGTTGAGCATTTTACATTTTATACTAGCACTTGGGTAATATAGGGTAATTTTCAAACTTTAAGCCGTTTAATAGATTCATTTTGTAATACTATCCTTTGTTTTTAATGGCTAAAAAGTCACCTTGTACACCTAAATAAATAACTGGACTCATAGTGGGCGTCTAAACAATGATACTATCCTGGTTATTATTTAAAAGGATCACCCAATACTATTGGATATCTATCGAGCAGAAGACAGCAGGCATATTGAGTATCTCATATGATAGTGGACTTTTGGATTTTAAACGAAAAATTAAAATAAAAAAATACTCTTCGTTTTAGATATCGCAACTATTCACAGACAGCAAAAAGGAATCATTTGAGTAAACTATTTTTACATCAGTTTATAATGTGGCGGTTGTAACTCAGCGGCTATGTTACTGGTTTAACAAGCTGCAGTGCCTGGATTCGATTCCCGGCACTGACACCAAAAATGTTTTAATTTCTGTTTTAATTTAGCAGTCACCGTTCTTCGGAGGGCATGTAAAGCCGTCGGTCTCGGCTAAGTGAGTAATCGTAAGTCATGTTAGGAACGCTTACGCAACTTGAAAACCCTTACCCAAGACCTAAGCCAGAATGATGGACGAACTTAACTTTTTTTATCAGTTTATAACCATCAATATAATTTGGGTTCACGATAACAGTTGATACAAAAAATTCAGGCCACTAAAAAAAACGAATTTGTTAGTAGGAAAGGTTTTTGCATCTATATTTTAGGATTTTTATGAAATTACCTTAGTCGACTACTTAGAAAAGAAGGAAACACTAAACGGAGAAAATTATGTCACATATTTTGCAATAACTTAGCGATGAAATAAAAAAAATACGGGGTAATGTTGGCAGCCTTAGTATATTGATAGATCAGTATATTTCTGTTGTCTATGACCTTTTTTATGTTAAAGTATCGCAGATATGACGGTGAAAGTACGACTTAATACTGAGAGCCATTAGATAGGGTTTAATTTAATTAGATAATTTATCATACTCATGCCGAGTGTCTACCTTTTTTACATAGGGGTGTTTAGTCAGACTGGAGGATAATATTCAGCAGACAACAGAGACAACCCAGCAGCAACGTTTGCAGACGCAAAGTAGCGGTAAGTAGAAGGTGCTCAGGTGGTATCGCAGAGCTCTAGAATAATGTTTTTTCTTGTATTAATATTTTTGCAGTTTTTTTAGATGCTTTTTTAAATATGGTGTTTTACCTAATCTCATGCACAGGTACTTTGATATTATGTTGTAGGTAAATATGGTGTTTTTAAATTATATGTGCAGTTATTCAAGTGAAAGCGACTATTCTCTTGGAAGAATTCAATTTCAGTCTCAACTCTCAGAACTATTTACCCATTATTTTCAGGTTTACGGTTAAAACTTTTTTAGTTAGCTCTAGTATTCTAGTTCCTTTAAAAAGCATTCAGTTTTTGGCGTACTCTCACTTTCTTGATTGTGTTTCCGGTATGCCTGCAATATAAAAGTCAAATATGATGAGCGAGCAGCCATTCTTGGAATAGTGAGCTTAAGTTTCTTCTGTGGAGTGAGTTGATGTTAGTACTCATAAATACTTGAAACATCTGGTTATTTAATACATTGTCTAACAGGCCTCATATTGATTTTCAGAGGATGTCACTTAAAAGTTTGTATATTAGACCTCCTCACAGGGGCGGATACACGGTAAGGAAAATGTAGCAATTTCTTGTTCCCAACAAGTTCCAAAATAAAAAAAAACTATTATTTATGTCTTTTATGTTCTTTTTTGGGTTTATCTTTTTTATGTCTTTTGGTTGTTGGTTTCATTGCAAATCCCCCTCTTTAGCAAATGTCTAGATCTGCATCTTATTCGATGTTTTCGGATTATTATAATTTTTATTTTGTTTGTTTATAATATCATATTAAATTTGCTTACTGTAAGATTAAATTAATCAGGAGTATCTACAGATCATCTTCAACCTCTCTATTTTTCCTCTCCTATTCTATAACTTATACCTGAATTTCGGACCTTGATAATATTGTCTATAATCAGATTAAACAGAAGAGAATTTTGAGAATCTTGGACATTATACATTTCTTGGCCGGCGTGCACTTTAAGAAGATAATTTATTTTGCGAAGATGACTTTTTCGGTAAACATTCCTTGAGTTTCTGGTAACATTATATATTTCTTAAAAGTAGTAAAAAGTGAAATTAATAAAATTAGTTATTCTTTTACTTTGACTAAAATTGAAAGTCATAACGCATCATTTCAATATAATAATCATAGCGGATTTACCACTGATTTAGTATTCAAAAAACGTTTCGGTGATATGACATTGTATGTTAAATACGGCTTACATCTGATTCTTTGGAAATCTGAATAAGAAACAAAGAAAAAACAATAACGACCCACATAAAAGAAAATTTTAATGTCTTCATTATTTCTCGGATAAAAGTACGTTTTATAATATATTTACTGTTCAAAAATATTTTATTTGCGTGCATTCCAGTAAATGGGCTGTAAACTCGATGAACTTGCAGGTTATAATAATGTTTTATGCGAAATAATTTTATTTTTTTTTTATAATATTTAGTGTCCTCATTGTATAAAGCTTGTTAGCTTGTTTGTTTTGTTTAATAGCACAGATATTTGTCATTTAACTAGTTGCTATCCCTAATACGAGATTGACGGACAATTAGCTGGAGAAAATAATACGGTAATGAACATAAGGGGTCACTCAGTTCTCGTCTAGGGACCCATTAAGACATTTTTAGTAGACAATATTGGACTAAGGATACGGTATTGTTATATTTAGGATAAAATGGTAAGGAATCTTAAAACATTTGTAATAATTCTGATCTTTTCATATGCATATTTGTTGTTTGTAATATTTTTGAAATTTAATGCACTTAAATAATGTAATAATAACCAACATTAGATTTTTAGCTAAGAAGTCTACATATTCATTATCTTTGAGTCCAATATGAGTCTCAAACAAGTGATTTTAATATTGAAGATAGTGTAGTAAATGTTTTGCATAAAGCAATAATTTGTATTATAGATATGACTTAAAAAATTTTTTTAACATATTTTAATGGTTCAAATGTGGTTAATGATTCTGCTGAGAAATTTCATTACTAGGTTGGTAGCGAAATATGCACCCCTGACAGCAAAAAATAAGCACATCACCTTGGATCGATCGATTTTGATCCTTCTATGTAGTTAACAATGGTGTTTTTGTAGCTGATCATTAGAATATTATTGCTGATTCTCGTATTTTCACTGTATGAAGATATTACTACTTCAGTTTTATGATTAGTAGAATAACGAAAAGTGGTCTAAGGTTTGGTCTTCTTCTTATGGTGCCTATCCGTTACGGATGTTGTACACTAACATGGCTATTCCGACTTTGTTGACTGCTGCCCTGAAAATTCCGGTAGTGGTTAAGTTAAACCACTTTCGCAGGTTATGCAGCCAGGATATTCTTCTTCGTCCTGGACCTCTTTGGTCTATTGTTCCCAATTCTTTGGAAAAAATAATATCATTCTATAATGTAGTGCATGCAGCGGAAATGGTTTTTTGGCCCAATATTTATCAGTGAGATCTAATCCGTTGAGTTAATAGATTTTTGAAAATAATTTTAAATCGTTGATTGAACTTTAATAAAGCATTTTTCTCTGAATGTATTTTTTTGAATTAGCTGTTAATGGGTCGTTTTTTTGGGGTATAGACGTTTGAAATGGAATAACACAAATATGATTTTTTAAATTGACATGACTCTGACGGCACCGGCTCTCACGTAGTCTGATCTAGAGGTCCAATTTTTGATGACTTTCTTAAACATTTCACAATTCACATTTTTCATTTCACAATTCACGGATCCGAAATGTGAAACTATGCAGTTAATAACCGTTTCTTTCAATAAAACAATTGTGGCACGAGCTGTGTGATATGTTGCGTAGTCTTGTTGAAACACAGCTCCTGCATATAATGCTTGTCCAAATAAGGAATCAAAAAGTCAGTAATCACGGTTTTATAGCGGTCACCATTAACTGTAACGTTCTGGTAAGCATTATTTTTAAAGAAGCAAGGACCGATGATCCCACCAGCCTACAAAGCACACTAAAGAGTCAGTATTTTTAGATATAATGGTGTCTCAACATACACTTGAATTATCTTCACTCCAAATACAGCAGTTTTGTTTGTTGACATAGCTATTCAACCAAAAGTGAGCTTCACCGCTAAACAAAATTCGCGTATGAAAATTAGGATCAATAGCAATCTCGTAAACATAAATCCCTTGACAGCTGTCAAAATGGCCGCCAGTTAAAAAAGTGTTGCCAACTTACATTTCTATACCTCTAAAAAAACACCCTTTACATGTAGTGGTTGTATAGAGGTGGAACTCATGGGATGGATCGTATATAAGCACAATAAACAAAGATATTTCAACGTCGCAAATCCCTTTCTAATCTAATTGCCGTTTTGAGGAAATTACTACATTTGTTTATCTATCCAGATGGCTTGTTTATTGACTAGGTGGTTTTTATTGCAAAACGCCTTCGAAAAAATTTACTTAACCCATTGTGTCACGTTTCAAGAAATAATACAAATAAAAATTTAAAATTTGTTTTATTTTCTATTATTTTTTTGAACATTGTTAAAACATATAATTTGGCTATAGCCGTTTTGGTTTTTGATTTATTGGATGTCTACAATCACAAGGTTACTTCAGGTAGTCACAGTAAAGCCCAAAGAAAAAAATTAAAAACTGAAATATATTTACTTACT